CTTCTGACTTTTTGATCTTTGTAACACAAACCGATGGCATATTTTGATTAAGGAATAAAAAATTCATGGCGACACTGGAGTTGAAATTACCCAATTATATACAGTAATTTTAGCTTCATCCATCAGCGCCATAATCAACAATGTTATAAAACATTTTATTAAATCAAGTTAAAAAAACATAAAAATCACCAAAAACCGATTTTTTACCATCCCTAGTGGATAGGGTAGGTCGCGAGAAATTTTGGTTCGAGCATTGACGCCGTTCTTGATATTAAACTAGACAAAAACTGTTACTGCTTATATTGCAATCTTTTCTACTATATTTAATTAAATATTCAAAATTCAACTTCAATTGTAGGTTTAGTAGATATTTGACATAATTTTGCTATTTACCGAAGCGGAAGGCATTCTGAAAATTTTATAAGATTATAGTAGAAAAATTTAAAGTAGAGTTCGTGGGAATACACGAAAACACAAATTGACAAATTAAAATACATCTGCTTAAGAAATTCGAAAATAACCATCAATCAAACATCAAAAGCGTTATAAAATATCTTTATTGCATGCAATCACTATATTTCTAGAGCTGTTAATTTTACTAGAATCAACCATTTGATCGACTTAGCATGGACATATCAAATCTAACCGTAAATACTTACGAGTAGAATCTTAAGGAATACGCATGTATGCAACTCAAATATATGGGCTAGGTGCTGAGAAAGGCAATTTTTCAAAAGAAATTTTTTTACATAAATCAATTTAGAGTAAGATTAGAATCATTTTCACTAAAGACACAAAAGCAGTTATATTAATAAAACTTTGCAGTATAGCTTTTTAAAGTTTATATTTTCATATAATTTATTATAAGATTTGTAGATAAAAATTGATTTTTCGAAGATCCTTTTTTTTTTTTGTCAATTTGGGCCCTTTCCTTATCACCTAGCCCATATGTTATTTGCTTCCAACACTGATAAGACTAGTTGAGAACTAGTCCGATCTCATTAACCTTTGAAGTCTATGCCGAACATCAGATCGACCTACCATGACTTTTGGAGCTGAATCTACTCGAGCAGGACTTTTAACGCCTTCATACATGTATATCTCCTTATACATGATAAGTATAAGATATAAGATATTGGTCATACGATGAAAAATAACAGGACATTTTTTTCATCGTATGACCAATATTGATGTTATTGTTTATATTATATTTGCATAAATGATGATGTCATTTTATGACAAAAATATCAAGGCAAAAAATTTTACATGATCATATCACATGAACAATAATAATGGCTAAGGTCATGTGCACTATCATAATATTTGTAATCAGACTTCCTAAATACCATTCACAGGGACTAAACTCTTGACAATTTGTATTTATGGAGACTCTATATATGTGGGACATAGCTAATGATTGCATTTCGGAAGGTGCCACATTTAGGGGATATGTACGTACGTACAGCACATACAAAAACAAATGTACTACATACTTGTATTACAATAAAATTGAATTTCAATATTTATAGTTTTAAATCATGAATACACATTGACAAAAATGAAAATAAATTTATTTCTTTTCGTCGCTTTTTCATTGCAGGTAAAAATAAAAAAGAAAGCAAGAATTAAAAAAAAAAAGAATTGATAAAAGAATGAATTAACTAAACATGTTGGTATCATTTTAATATTGTTATAGATCTATGTATTTGTCGAATCGACATTTACAGCATTGCTACCAAGAAATGGTGGTATGTGGTTAGGATCCACTACAACAACGATTACATATATTGGTAAGAGAAGATTTATGTCAAATAAAATGTTGTTAGTTGGCTCATTCTCATTTCTTCCTCTTATTTTTTAAAGATCTTACCGTAAGTTATTCACTTATTGGGACTGTTACGCCGCCAGATACAACGATTCAGGGCCAATCTACTGTTGGAAATTCGACGTACACCACTGATAATCACGGATTTGTTTATTTACTGACTACTTCTACTTCAGTCACTGTTGACTCTTGTGTTTTGTGTCCGTCAATAAGATATCTTAATAGCAGTCTTAAAAGAGACACTTACGCCCTTGGATTCGCCAATCCAAATAATGTAGACTACTATCTTACTATTTCATTAAAATTAAGTCCTTCAGTAACAAGTCAAGCGAATTATCCAACAAACGCATTCAATCCTAACCCAACAAACGCATTCAAGCCTTCATCAAGTCAATCAAATACTCCAGGAAGCAATTCAAATCAGCAAGACTCTTCATCCAATAATACATTGCTTGTTGGTGTTGGCGTTGGTGCTGGTGTTTTACTTGTTGGCATGTTAGCTCTTCTTGGATTTTTTTACTTCTATAACAAAAGAAGAACACACCATGCAATCATTGAAATGCCTGGTAGCAATACTCCTTATTGAACTTTTATACGTTTTTAATATCTAATCCCTTTATTGCTACAAAATATTGTATACGTAGATATAATTATTTGTACTACATTAATTCTCTTGTATGCCAAAACAAACATTACATGAATATATTGAATGTTGCACATATGCAAGGGGAAAGTGTCGGCGTAACCAAAATCGATATTAATGACCCATTTTTTAATTTCCTTATTTGCAGTACAAAATTATGTATCGGTATTACGTAGCGTTAGTGACAAAATAATTTATACTCATTTAGTTTTTTTGGTTTGTAAATTTTTACGATTTGATTGGTTAATCAATATAGGAAATATAAGGAAAATAAAAATGTGAAATGGCTCATTCAAAAAATATCTACCAATTTTTCTAACTACAATTCTTTATCTATTTATTCTATTTATATTGTTGATTCATCACTTATGCATCCTATACTTTAATAACCTTTTAATTGACTATTTAATTACCGTCATTGTTACGTCGATCGACGATCACGTGACATTTGGCCTCGATAACGCTACCCGACACTATCGACCCATCGTAATGCTGCCCAATCTTATAATCACGTGACCATATCGAAGTGCCATCCCACCCTTCCTTTGGTATTCTTGCTTGTGTGTACAATTCGCTGTCGATTAGCATTCCCCTAAACAAGTATAGGGGTTGTTTAGAAACTATGCAAAATATATAAAAGCATTTTTTTTGTTATAAGCTTTGAGATCTAACTAATAAACAAACAGTAGCACAATAAAATCATAATGTATCTAGCTTAAATAGGCTAGTTTTAGGTTTACTGATCTGGACTGTTCAGAACATTAATGTGACTGATAAGATCATGTAAGAATGGTTAGAATTCATTACAATCGTAGTCAGATGGGACGAAATTAGTATCATTTATCGAAGAACACAAGATCGGTCGATATTTTTGTTATAGGCGTTACGTATCGAAAATTCCATGTAATAATAATATTTGCAAACTAGATAGCAAGCATGAAACAATAAATTAATACGAACGGCATATTAGGAATAACAATAAAAGGTTTTAAGCATAAGAGATGTATAATCTGCATTTTGGAACATTTGTACTACAGAACTGCTTCTATTTAATACATGTAAATGTAAAAAAGAAAAAAAAAGAATCTCAACTATCTCAACTTTAGACAAAATGTCGATTAAGCATTTTGAAAAAATTTCAAATCATTACGTTAAACTTTTTGAAAGTGAAGAAGAATTTAATGTGATCATTAAGGCAGGAACATATCCAGACACAAAAGAATTTAAAGCACATTCGATTATCTTAAGGTGTAGATGTCCGTATTTTCATGGTGAATTATTAAATGTTAACAAAGATATAGACAGTATTTCAAGGATCGATTTAAAACCACATATTTCTGTCAAGCAATTTGAAATTATTATCAAGTAAGTAATATTATCGCTATTCTTATTTCTCATTTTTTAACAAGATACCATATAGATTTTAATTCAACATTAACGTTAACATTGATAACTAATAAATAGGTATATCTATGGCGGGTTTATTTCTTTAGAAAATCTTGATTCTCAGTTTATTTTTGATCTCATCCAAACCGCTGATGAATTTCTTTTAGAGGAGTTAATGGAAGACCTTGAAACTTATTTAATAGAATCAAACGCTCGTTGGTTACGTTCACATTTTGCATACGTTTATAAAACAAGTTTTCAAAACAATAAGCTTAAAGAATTACAAAATTGGTGTAATAACATTGTAACAAAATATCCAAATCTCGTTTTCAAATCTGAAGATTTCACCGCTCTTAAAGAAGAAGCATTAGTTTCACTTATTAAACGGGATGATTTACAAATGGAAGAGATTAATATTTGGAATTATATTATTGAATGGGGACTTGCTCAAAATCAAAATCTACCAGAAGATTTTAATGATTGGTCTGATGAAGATTTTAAGACTTTAAAATCTATTTTACGAAATTGTTTACCTCTTATCCGTTACTTTCAAATCTCCAGTGCTGATGTTGTAACTCATGTGCTACCATATTCTCCAATTCTTGGAAAAAATCTTTGGAATGATATTTTAAAAAAACACATGTTACCAAATCATCAAATTTCATCAAAAGTTTTACCACCCCGTATTATTTCAGTACCAGTTTTACCACCCCGTATTATTTCAGTACCAGTTTTACCACCCCGTATTATTTCAGTACCAGTTTTACCTGTCAGAACAATAGAACCTTTCTCTTCGACTGTTATCAATGAAGATCATGCTGCGGAAATATCATCATGGATTGATAAAAAATCCAGTTATTATTATACAACAAATAATCCATACGAATTTAAATTACTTCTTCGTGGAAGTAGAGATGGATTTACTTCAGAAGCTTTTTGGGCTTTATGTAATATGCAAGCAAATACTGTTATAGTTTTGAATGTTATAGGTACTGATAATACTGAAAGAATAATTGGTGGATATAATCCGATTGCTTGGAATAGTTCTCTTGCTGGTAAATACGTTAATTGTCGAGAAAGCTTTGTTTTTTCTTTGAAGCATGGTCTTACTAGAAATTCGGTTTTAAGTCGTGTACAAATGCCACAATATGCTTTATATTATAATACTGATCGTGGTGCGAACTTTGGTACATCTGATCTTCGTATGTTTAGTGATTACGATGTACAACAATTTAATGATCAAAATAATGTTTGTCGTTGTCAACGTCATACATATGAAAAGCAAATTAATAGTTGTGCTCTTTCTTTAGTAAATGAATATGAAGTGTTTCAAATTCATAAGAAATCACAATAGAATTATATTATTAAAATTATACTAGGAAAACGGAATCCGGAGTATCGCTTCACGTTGTTATATACTGCTTAGTGATACTGTATAAAAAAAGTCAAAGAACGATAGAGCATAGATACGTATTAATAAATTTTCTAGAAAATTTTTAAAATAAAGAATTCAATATAAAAATAGTATTTTCATAACTTTTGCTTGCCACATCTATATTCAGGATTAGAGGCCTGCACGGGCCGGGCCGAAATTTGAAAATTTTAAAAACCTCTCAAAATTGCGGGCCTGGTATGTCAAGAACATAGTAAATTGCGGACCGAACTTTTAAAAAACAGTAAATTTTATTTTGCGGGCCGTGCGGGCCGGCAAAAGTACAAATTTCTAGAACCGTGCAGGTCCCTATTCAAGATCATAAATCAGGCAATACAGTTATAATATTAGGACAATCTATAAATTTAATCAAAGATGCTATTTTGCAAACCACAATAAATCACGAATCTATTTACTATTGAAATTATGGACCCGCTGTTGAAATTACAAATCCATTCACTACTAAATCGTGAACATTCTATTGAATTTACGAACCCACTCACCGTTAAATCGTTAAAATTGAACTTTCAATAAAAATTGTTTACCAATCATTTAATATAAAAACTGCATCTATAAAAATAAATGAGATTCGACATATGTTTAATCTCATTAGATATTGATCCCCTCAATATTATATGGTTTATAATTTCTACTAAACTATAAATGATTGTTATTTTAAATACGGTCAACTCTTCCTGGTTAGGTCTATAACAGTTTAGGTCTCACTGGGTAAAGTCTAGGTCACAGATAAAGTAGTCTGAAACCCAGTCCCCTAGTTAAAAACTTAGTTGTATCACATTGTAATAAATATATTATAATTAGAAATATTAATAAAGGTACAGAGGGCATGACCTCGCTTTAAAAAATCAACTCTGCTTATCTCTTAAACCATTCAAAATTGAAGGCAAATTTGCCATGAAATTTTCTGATAGTCACATGTATTACAACTATATAAAGAATAAAAACATAAAATGTAAAGCAATCTTGGCGTTGCTTATTAATACATAAAAAAACATTACACACTATACACCACATATTACTTTGCGGTGAATTCTTGTCATGTCACGAAGTAATTTGTGCTGCCACCAAGCAACTGAGCACAGCGGCTATAAAAGTTAAATTTATGTTTGTTTTGTTTAAAAATAAAAGTAGCAACAATTATTAAATCCAGATTAGATTCTGCTATATTTTCCAGCAGTTAGTTAAGAATATGATTAATAAATAAAAGTGTGTATTACTCGGCATATTTCTAAAAAAGTTCCACCAATGTTCCTTATTGTTTCTGAAAATTTTCTAAATCATGTTCAAGTATGTGTGTTATATTAACTTTAATAAATAAGTTTATATTAAACAAAATTTAAATTGCATTGGTTCGATACTATCAGCTTATTTAAATGTTAAAAGAAACCGTGAATTTATTCAAAACAAAATAGAAGCAAAAAATGAAATTGAACTTACGAACCTGGTGATTTAGTTAAAATTCGCATTCCCACCATTGATAAATTAAAGAGATCCTTAAAATGATATCTAACCATGATTCTTACCAAGTCGCCTGCAAATTTGTGGTCCTGGTTAGTGCTCCGATCGGGTCAACCCGAACAACCCGAAACTAACCCGAAAATAATAGATTTACTATATGGGTCATGATCCACCTAATAGATTTAATATAACCGGGTTGGTTTCGGGTTGTTCGGGTCAACCCGATCGGAGCACTAGTCCTGGTACTCATCAAATTAGTTTAAACCACTGAGTACCCTGATTATCCTGATCTCAACGTTATACCACTAAATAACATACTTTCATTGAGAGAGGCAGGTGCCAGGCAAAACCTTACATGTCCTACTTATAATAATAAAAGATCAACTAATAATAATCACAAACGTCCAACCTATAATTTCCAAGATGGCCAAGCTTATAATATTAGTGAGTACCCGCCAAATACGTTCCTTGAGTAATTAAAAAAAAAAAACTAATAATAATAATATATTCATTATTATTATTATTATTATTGATTATATTATTTTTGTAACATTAGTGTTACGAATAATAATATTGGTTCAAGACATCCAACAAGAAACCTGTCGTTGCCGAAAAACAAATTGTGGTACCAAATCATGTTCTTGCA